CACAGTTTAAAGACACTCAGGTGAAGGTCTTGCATTAAAAAATAAATAAAATGAAAATATGTATAATCTGCTCTAAAGCCTCTAGATTGTCTTGTTTTGTGGGAGGCTCATCCTGTTTGTCGTCAGGATTTGAAACTTCCTGCTTGGGTGTAGAATCATCCGTACTTTCCATCATCACTGCAGATGGGCCAGTGTTAACAATTTCAATGGTTTCTGAAACACCCTCTGATTGAGGAGCTCCTTTGTCAGATCCTTCCGGTGTCTCTCCCACTGATTCATCAGACACCACTTTAAAGTCTGTCTCTTTGTCATCTTCTTGAAGATTCTCACTTTTAGGGATTAAACTTCCCAGGTCAGCCTCAGGATGGTTTGATGCAGCAGGTTTCTCAACTTCCAAAGAAAAGTCAGGTGTTGACATTGAAAACATAGAGCTGTCATGCAACACAGACGGGATGAGATCAGGTTTGGTCCCTTGACTTAAGTCTTCCCAACTTGTTGCTTCTGTTGCTAAAGACATTTTTGTTATTTTGAGCACTTCATCAGTTGTATCTCCTAAAACCTCCTCATTAGGTTCCTTAACACGCTGTCTTCCTTTATTTCTACGGCTGGACCCCAGTTTTCTTCTGTTCCCACTGAAGTCGAAGCCAGTGTTGCTTTCCTCATCTACGCTCACAGAAGTGTCCTGAAGGTTGGAGTCAGAAGGAGCGTCTATTTCTGACGGCAGGGTTTGTGGGGAAAATGTGCTGGTGTCGGCTTCAGAGAGAACTCCTTCATCGTCTTTGTGTTTTATATCGACTTGGCCTTCTCCCTCATTCGTCTGTCCTAGTGCGTCGTCTTCTCTCTCCGTGATTTTGATCAGTGGTTGTTTGGAATCATACACATCAGAATCCAAATCTCTGTCTTGTGTTGGAGGCTCCTCCTGTTTACTGACAGGATTTGGAACTTCCTCTTTGGGTGCAGAATCATCCGTAACAGTCACACTCACCTCAGATTGGTTTGTGTCCCTGAGCTCAGTTTGGTCTTTCAGGTGTCCAGAGGAGGTATCAGCATTTTCTGTGGCATCAACTGTGAGACTTTCAGGGGAGTAATCATTCTGTTGCTCATCCTGAATTTGTGCAGGCTGAATATCTTTCTGTACAGCTTCGTCTGAACGCTGGGCCCCCCAGACATCAGACAATAGTTCCATGTTTAGAGGCAATTCATGTTTCTGTGATGGATCTGTTGCTTTCTCAACCCTGACGGCCTCAGGATGGTTTGATGCAGCCGGTTTCTGAACCTCCAAAGAAAAGCCAGGTGTTGACATTGAAAACATGGAGCTGTCATGCAACACAGACGGGATGAGATCAGGTTTGAAGTCTTCCCAACTTGTTGTTTCTGTTGCTGAAGACATTTTTGTTATTTCATGTGCTTCATCAGTCGTGGTATCTCCTAAAACTTCCTCAT